CATGTTATCCTACTAACATATCATACATGTTTCAATTTGTTTTAATGCATGGACACTATAAATTCAAGATAAACGACTAGAACTGATCGGTGAGACGTTTTGTAATTCGTGCAACATATCTGAAGTGGTAAGGTGTTTTCATTTGGGGCTGTTATGTGTGCAAAGAGTACCTAAGGATAGACCAAGCACGTCATATGTGGTTTTGTTTTTGTGATTTCTCATTTTCTTACTATTAATGTGCCAATGCAAGCCTCTTTTTCAAATCCATATTTTTTTTTTGTTTAAAATCAGGTTTTATAAAATAAAAAAAGGAAACCGAATCAAAACAAAACCAAACAACAAAAAAAAAAAAAAAAAAAAAAACGAACCCAAAAAAAAAAAAGAAACGAACCGAATCGAATTGAACCAAAATTTTGATTCAGTTTTGGCAAAAAACCGAACCCCCCTAGCTGCTAGGAGAGGTTGGCGAGGAACTCGTCCTTTTTCTATGTCATAGAAGTCTACAACAAAAAAGAGAGAAACCAATTAAGATTACCGATCATAATTTCAACCATTTTTATTATAATAAAATTTAAACTTAAAACGTAAAACGAAATACTTACAAAAATGTCGTCCGCAACCTGGTTACCATAATTGGCAGGCGTCTCCCCCAAACCTCCACTTCCAGGAAATGCAAACCACTCGTCCGCTATTCCTCAACGTGGTAAGATAAAAGTCGAGAACTAAAATAATGACGGTATGGCTTCTTCTCCCAATTGCCTTTATTTGTCACTAATTTTTCTATAAATTACCAAATTTAATTAAACCTAACTAAAAGAATTGAAAAACTAAACTAAAATTAAAATATAAATAAAACTTACCTTAAATTTTTCACCAGAAAATGAGTGCATATCCATTGCCACTCACGTATCCTCTCCCGAAAGTCTACAGGTGGATCAGTAAAAGCTGCATCAGGAGATGCACAGGTCTTGTAGCAGCAGTGTAGCTCATACTTCGACCCCTTATACCGCTCCCTTCACACCTACCCTAGGCAGTCAGTATTCCATTGTCCTCCATGTTGTTTTCGAAGTTGGCTTGAAATGCCAAAAAAAAAAAAAAAGACACCAAAAAATCAGTTAAAACCACATTAAAAAGTAAAGTTAAAGATATTAATAAATTAAAAAAGTTGTATATTTGCCAAAATCTGTCTCAGCATCTCGGCACTAACCTGTTGACTTTATTACTCGTTCATTGATGATTCGGGATCGGGAGGTAATCAACTGGGATCCAAGCCTGTGATACTTGGGTGATTCGGATGCTCGCTAACCCTTTACAAATCCCCTGGACTCTCCGGCCCGGTGGAAAGCTCTTTGTCACCCAGTTGTTGCACGACCGTCGAATTGGCCCTTGCGCCCTCAGCAGGTTGAGGAAGGGCTAAGGCTTCCACAGGCTCATGCTTGTGGTTGTGAGGGTGACTAGCAGATCGGAATACCAGCTCGGTTTGCACAAAACTATCAAGGCTGGCTACTGACTCGATAGTGGGAGCCTGGGTGACATTGTCGTCAGGTCAAGTTGACCAGCTTTGCCGACCATTTGGATATTTCGTCGAGTCAAGTTGTTTTACTTAACCAAAATTTTGAATTTTTTGAAATATTTGCCGATTTGCCTAATGAATGATTAGGGTAACGAACATGTGTCAAAATTTTAAAAGGTTTTACCCGACGAACCGTCTATCGGGTAAGGGTTTAAAATGTTACAACCCCATGACCTTCTTCTTTCTTCTTCATTGCGTCTTTCTCACTCTTGATCTTAGTGCTCTCACTCTCGTTCTTAGTTCTCTCTCAATCTCTCTCAATTTTTTCCAATCTTTCTAGGTACTCTTTCAATCTCTCTCAGTATTTTCCCCCTTAAACCTATATCCTTTTCATCTCACTCAGTGGTCTCAACCGTCATGATGCTATCTCTTAAACTCAGAATCCCTGATGAACCTCCCTATTAATCTCTTTGTCACTGTAAGTTTTAATTTCATTTACATTTGTGAATTTGTTTTTGGATTTAAGAAATTGAGATGGATTTGTGGATTTGTATGAATTTGTGAATTTTAGATAAATATGTGGATTTAGGATGTTCGTGTATATTCCATATGTGAATTTATGAATTGGGTTGTGGAATTGTGAATCATGGATGCATTTATGGATTTGTGAATTTGTGAATCAGGGGTGCTACTTGTGGATATAGGTTGGATTTGTTAATTTGTTTGTGAATCATGGGTTTGTGGATTTGTGGATTTGAAAATTTGATTTAGGGTTCTTTAGATATAGACCCTTGAAACTCCTATTTTCCAAATAAAAACCCATCTAAATTTAAACAATCAAATAAAACCCAAATTTCAAATAGCCTACCATGTAGACAAATATATGACCAACTATTACAATACAATTACAACTTATGCCATAGAATACTAATTTGGTCAATAAATGTTATTACTCATCATAATTATGATGAGCAATTAAATCCATATGGATATTTTACCTTTCTTGTATAATAAATATTAGCAACATATATAAATTAATTTACCAAATTTAAAAGAGAAAGACAATCTTGTATGGAAAAAATAATATTGTTTGAATTATGTAATTACCTACATACAAATTAATTTACCTACTTATAAAATATTGTACTAATAAACCTGCATTTTGAATCATGTAATTACCTACATACAAATATTATACTAATTTACCAACATTTAAATTAATTTACCTACTTATAAAATATTATACTAATTTACCTACATTTAAATTAATTTACCTACTTATTAATATTATACTAATTTACCTACTTGTTAATATTATACTAATTTACCTACATTTAAATTAATTTACCTATTCCAAAAAAAAAATAGTGATATTAGATAATGTTCGAATGTTGTGGGTTTGTGCTTGTAGGCAATTAAATAAACTTTTAATCTAATGCACTTAAATCATGTAGGTAAATTAGACCATTTTGAAAGTAAACTAGACCCTTTAAATTTTGGTTTGATGTAATAGGTAAATTAGACTATTTTGTAGGTAAGAATTGTGTGGAACATATAGCTTTTGTTTTGTGTATTAGGGATTGGAATATTAGCCGAAGCTGTTTTAGGTTTATTGTTGTGTTGGTAGGTAAATTAAGTTATATATGTAAAGCACAAAATTATGAAATTAGTATTATTATTTTTCAATTGGCACGTTATAACAATTTGAAAGTTAATACATTGAATATACAATGAATGGCATGAATTATTTTGTAAAATATATAAAATTAATTAAATGAATATAACAAGTAACTGATCCAAAAACCTCATCCAAGTATTAATAGGGGTAGTTTAGGCATTCGAAAAATACACAATTTGAAAAGTCAAACTTAATTAAAGAATTTGTTTAATTGGAGGCTAGTCAATGGGCTTTATTCAAGAAAACAAAAGGAGATGGGTTTTAGTAGAGGAAAATATAGTTTCAAGGGGTAATATCAAATTTTCAGTTTGATTTATGAATTTCTAACCCTGATAAATTGTAAGTGATGCATATAGGTTACAAGTTGAAAGTCATGCATATAGGTTGAATGTGAATTGATAGTGAATTGAAAGTCATGCATATAGGTTGAAAGTGAATTGATAGTGAATTGAATGTGATGCATATAGGTTACAAGTTGCTTATACAACTCAGCAATCATATGTGTGAGTTGTAGCTGCCACTTTCTTCCTTAGGGTTTGTGTTTTGTATAGAGCCTTGTTCCTTATTCCTTGTTGTCATGCTTTGTCTAGCGGCTTTCAGCCTTACTCGAGCTCTCTGAAGAGCCTTCTTCTTGTAATTATTTGACATGGTTTTGAAATGGTTTTTTGATAGATGGATCCTCGATAGATCACGAGTGTTCACTGTTCTGCTTTCACTTTCTCTTAGAGTGAGCGGTCGGTCCCCAGTGCCACTGTGAGGGCTAATGGGACCTAGGCCGCGACTACCAAGTCATCCACCGACACCAGTTCGTCAGTGTCATTGCCCCAGCCAGCCCGATCTGCTAGGTGACTCCACAGTAGTCTTCGTAACCAGCCACTCCCACCACCCATCTTGGTCACATCTCAGCTTTCTAAGGGCAGCTTAGAAGCTGGATCGACCTCCGTGAAGGCAATGGATAAGGAAAGACACCTCCCTACCATCCTTAAGAGTTAGAACACTTGGGGCATTTGTCGTCCTTAAAGACAAATTTGATCAGTCGGACCACTCCGCAAAGGATCCGGATTGTATACCCCCAACCACCGCCGAATGTGTGCCAATTTCAATAGTTTGTTGACTCATGACTACGGTACCCTCATCTGCAACAAATGCCTTATAGACGCTGATTTCTGGATTACGCATAGGGCGTCGATTCGTGCCGAGATGAACCGCCAGCTTTCGATAAATGTACAAATACTTGTTCAATTTAATAATATTTTTTTAAAATTTATTTTTTGTCATTTTAAACCAACTCTTTGATTTTGATTTTGAAAATTGTAGTCCAACTTTAAGTAGAACGAGCATGATAAAGCTTGTGTGGATTTCATCGACCGAGTCTAGAGAAGTCGATTCAAGGAATGAAAGATGAGCTCCACAAGTACTACGAGACTTGTCTGACGCCTAAGGCAGCACTTGTAGACCCTCCCCAGGAGTTATTGGAGAGGGTATTGATAAACCGACTCCAACTCAGTCTATGTCTGTTGCACAAATAGAATTCCAGTCTAACACGAAATCCCAGTCCAACACGGAATCCTCACCGCTTGCTGCACCGATTGTTGCAGATCATGTTTTGTCCTGATTCAACTACTTGTAATCCTAGTTCTACATATGTATGACTTGTAATCCTATAAATATTAATGCACGACGCTCACTCGATTATTGAGTTGAGATTTATAATTACTATCTTTCATGGTATCACGAGCCAGCGTCTCACGACAAAGGTTCATATTATAATTTTTTTTTTCTTTCTTTTCTTCTCAGTCTTCTACAGTTATGGCGTCTTCTTCCTCTGCTACTGCTGCTCCCTCTGTCATGAATTTTCTCACCATCAAGCTCGACCGCAACAACTACCCTCTCTGGCGTGCTCAGTTCCTTCCCTTGCTGTGCAGCCGCAACTTACTATCTTATGTTACTGGTGAAAATCACTGCCCATCTGCTTTTCTTCTTGATGACAATGGTAAACTCATAGACAAGGTCAATCCATTATATGCTGAATGGATACAGACTGATCAGATGATCCTTTCTTGGATTACGAGTTCCCTTACTCCCAAGGTTCTTGCTACAATCGTCAACAAAATTGATTCGGCTTCTGCCTGGTCGTCTCTTCAAGAACGATATGCTTCTACGTCTCAAAATCGTATTATCCAAATGCATACAGAATTGATGAATACTGCTCGTGGTAATCTTTCTATCGATGACTATCTCGACCAAGTCAACGCCATCGCCGACAACCTTGCTCTTTCTGGCGCCCCAGTCTCTGAATCCGACTTAGTTGCCATTATTATGAGTAAAGTAGGTCCACAATATGAGACCACTGTTGCTTCCGCACAGGCTCGTGACACTCCCATCACCTACAATTCATTGGAAGCATTATTACTGAGTGCCGAGCAACCTTACAACGCCTTTTCTCTTCCCTCTGATAGCGGCACCTCTGCTTTTGCTGCTGTCCGTGGCGGTCGCGGTGGCTTCCGTGGCCGTGGTAATTCTTTTCGTGGTGGACGTGGTGGAAGCTTCTTCCGTGGTGGTGCTGGTAACTTCTCACGCCCAAATTTGGCTGCTCATGACTCCGGTTCTGCTGCCCCTGCAACATCCACCTCTGCAGCCCCTTCCCGCGGGTCATCTTCTTCCTACAATGGACTTCTTGGTCCAGCACCTGGCTCCAGCACATCTCATGGTTCCTTGCCTGTTTTTTCCTCCTCTGGGCGTATTCAATGTCAGATTTGTCAACGCTTTGGGCACTCGGCTATTGATTGCTTCAATCGTCTCAATATGTCCTACGAAGGTCGGGTTCCCTCCTCTCGTCTTCAAGCCTACACAGCTGCACCATCTTCCCGTGCTTCCGCCGCTGCACCCTCTGTCCAGCAATGGCGTTTTGACTCCGGCGCAAATTCTCACATAACCAATGATGTCAACCAACTCCAAAATCCTCGTGAGTATCATGGCACCGATCAAATTCGTGGTGTGCATGGTGGTCCAGGTTTGAACATCTCAAAAATTGGTGACTCATACCTTCGAACTAAATATGCTTCTTTTCGTTTGCCTAACACCCTCTATTGTCCCCAAGCCTCAACTAATGTGATTTCTTTGAACCGTTTTTCGGATGATAATAACTGCTTCTTTACTTTCCATCCCCATTTTTATCGTGTGCAGGATTCACGGACGGGGAGGATCCTTTTACAAGGCCGGAGTAACAATGGACTCTACCCGTGTTCTAATCACCCCTCTCATCAAACCCATGGTGTTTTTGCTTTCTTAGGTGAACGTGTAACTGATGCCTTGTGGCATAGTAGGTTAGGTCATCCTTCGTTTTCAATTTTAAAACATTTAATTTCTGTAAATAAATTGCCCATTCAAGGCTCGTTTCAAAATAAATTTTAAGAGTGAAAAAGTATCAAGTAATGAAATATAGTTTTTATTTTTATTTATTTTTTATAATTTTTTACTTTAGTTAAACAAATATTTTAGTTTTTATTTTAATGTAATTTTTTTACTCAAGTTAAACAAATATTTTGTAATGGATAGAAAAAATCGGCGACAAATATAGAAAACCAAGACAAGAAGTCGTACGATCACCATTTTGGTTCTCGACCCCCTACCTTGCTGGGTCGGCGGGAGGCTGGGGAGAAGTTCTTGGTGCCGGTGATTTGGGGGGAGAGCCACGCTAATCATGGCAATGAGGTTGCGGACGAAAATTTACGTAAGTGTATTTTCATATTTTTTATTTATAATTTCATTACAATAATCATGGTTTTAATTATAATTGATAATCTAACTTTGTATTCTTTTGTTTTTTTATAGGTTTCTATGGTATAGAAGAAGGATGAGTACATCGCCAATCTCTCCCAGAATCATCCTGACATGCCTATAGAGGAGCTAACACTGGATCTAGAGGTGTCTCTCCAGGTGCTGATGGACAAGGTTGGGTGAAGGAAGGGCAATGAATTATGCGGCCTAGAGCGAGACGGGTTCAGGAAGTCGAGTCATGTTCTTCATCCAGCTTCACTCCATCGACCGGGATTGATTCAAGACTTCAATAGGTGGAGAGGAGCTGGTGCGCCTAAGGGAATTAGTGAGCCAGTACTTCATTGTCATATGTCAAATTGCATGCGTATGCAGGGGAAGAGTATGAACACGTACGTCCGTGTATGGGAGAAGAGAACCATATATATAGCTTAATTTAAATCCGACGGAATTACCTAACTATATATATGTTATAATTAAGATATATATGGAGGATTCATGAATCTATGAGTCTCTGAATCTATATCTGAATACGCTGTAACTAAGATACATACGAGGAGGGTTATTCATGAATGTGTGGACGTGAATGTGATCTCCACTCGCACGCAATAGGGTTGAATTTACATTCTGCTTCTTGTAGTGAAATGGCCGGTATCCATAGCTTTCGTTGACCTTCAAACGGTTAATATTATAAAATTAGAATATATAACAAAATGTATGCATATATATACAAATTAACAAATGTAAATTGGATTGGAGTGTAACTAACCAATACACTAAACATGTTCTAGTCACTCACCATTTGATCTTAATTCAATTGTACTTTTTTTTTTCTGCGGTTAGGTTAATATTGAACAGTGAATGACCATGGTTTTTTTGGACATTAGAGTTAACGAGAACAGGGACTCCTAATCAATATATGAACGAGGAATTATGAATTAATTAAGGGACCTACGTAATTGAAGAAAAGGGGGCAAATGGTCCATGGCAATGTCTCCTGGAATGGTCTAACGTGAGCATCATGTTAGTTGTCGGCATGGACTACGTCTCTCATGGTCCCCCAACTGTAAATGTATATCTTGCTTACAGAGAGCTCGCTGCGTGTGGTTGGGGGGGACTTAAACGAGAGTTTCACGTGCCCTAATAACCCCCTCTCTACTACAAACCACGTGGCTACTATCACATGTTCTTTAATTATTTCCCTCTTCATCATTCTATCTGTGTTCATGTTTAACAACAGTCCTTTTCATCATGCGTTTTTTGCTAGCTAGCCAGCAATGGCTAATACGAGATTAAGTAAATTGATTTGATCGTTTAAAACACTAATAGTTGATTAGATTATTTGGGAATTGAAGTATCTGGTCATATCTTAATTGTCGTCCCATAACCATGCTTCAATCCAGCAAAGTGGCCCAACCTTAATTAGTTTTCACATATTTGCATCAATGAGATCATTCTAGCCAAATGAGAGACCAGACTTCACGTATGGTTTTAAATGCATGGGTAATAATTTTAATTAGCTTGGACAATAATGCAAGGAATATTGATTACATACATGATCAATTTCAAAGCATTACACTGGACGCTAATGAAAAAAAAAAAAAAAATTAAATCTCAACACATTGTTATTAGAGTACAACAAACATTGTCAACATATGTAAATTTAAACTTTATTTAAAAAAAGGGCGAGCTTTAGTGAAAGAAGGTGATAGTCATATCTTCAGATCCATTATGCCAAGATATTCATCGTCTGTGAAAGGTGAATGCGTTGGGGCGGGGGCGGGTGGGTGTGTGTGATGATCTTTTAAGGGTTCCTCAAATAAGTTGATACGAGGGATTCTCTTTATGCCCACTCGGACCACTCTGCGGGAGATTTTTTTAGTGTAATAATATACCGGATGGTATACTACGTGTCATTATACAAATGGTAAGATATGTAAATTAAAAAGTTAATAATTTAAAAAATAAAAATTTTCACTTCTATTAAAACACGTGGTATACCACTTGTGTTCCCGTCATAATGAAAAATTTATCCTCTAGAATGTACTTTCGGATTCTCGAACTGTTTGGTTGTCTTTTGGTCTTCCCCTAACGATATTGCAATTTTTTTCTAAAATTCAAAGCCTCGTGATTTAATTTTTGTCTGTTTTTTTTTTTTTTGGGTATTTTGGATCTAGGTCCAGAAACATAGGTTGTTTTTAGATTGAGTCCAGTTATTCAATTACATGCCTTGATTCCAATTTTGTCCTTCCAATTAAAAATGTTTTAATATTTTAATTTTTGTATCATTTATTCAGCTTTTGAAATTAAAGTATTATCTGGTAACTACCTACTATATATGAAGAGAAAAGATGTCTACCTACAAAACTGATATAATCTAATAATTAACTAAAAGGAATAAAAACATAATATACTTACAAGCTAGACACATTAATCTGTGATGCGTGTTGATTATAAAACAAAATCTAGCATATATGTATACATAAATACGATTAACATATACTATAGGTTGATTATAAAAATTAAATCTATGAATAGGTTTAGAGCAAGAAGAACAAGAAATAACAAAAAAGAAAAAAAGAAAAAAATTAAAGAGATAATTAAGAAAAAAATTCAATTTTTATTATAAGTCCTTTTTTTTTTTTTTTTGAATAGAAAGCAATATATTCATTAATCACACTCATGAAGAGTACATAAATCTTGGAAGAGAAGCTTCTGAATAATGATAAGAGGCTGCTCAAACCAAACTAAGTTATTGCCACTAGACAAAGCAAACTTGGCAAGATAGTGTGCAACACCATTACATAAGCGGTTAACATGGATAAATCTCACCATAGGGAAATTGGATGCTAGCTGAGACGTCAGAAAGAGTATGATTGAGTGTTGTAATGACCTTCAAACAGTCGCTCTCCACAACCACCTGTTAGAAACCTTGCTATTGAGCCAACTACAAACCAAACCTAATTGAATACATCTTAAGGATCGGAACCGAGACAATGCTCAGGTACTGTTGCACCCCTGCCATCAAGTGTCCTCCCCGAATCACCACCCCCACCCCACCGAGCTTATCTCGATCTCTTAGCACCCCGTCAGTGTTGAGCTTAACCTACCATTGGGAAGGGGGAGTCCACCATGGGGAAGAGAGACCCTTTGTCCTAGTTGTTTTTTCGTATTAGCCTCCTAAAACGCCAACAACCATGATAACACCCGCTACCAAACAACTATGGGTGGGATGTTGGATCCCTTCCACACTCGTGCATTCCTTTCCTGCCAAATACGCCACAACATCATGCATGCCAACTCAAAATCCACCTCCCTCCGTTCAAGCACCTCTAACATCCATTCTTTTAACAGAAAACAAGAGCTCCCAAACCCTCTCAGACCTAACGGAGAACTAAACCATACTACTTTGGCAAATGAACAAGTAAAAATGACATGTTTCGCAACCTCCTGCTCTCCCTGATATATCCTACACTTTGGCTCCACCCTCACACCTTTCCTCTTAAGATTCACTTTAGTGGGAAAAATGTTGTGACAAACCCTCCAAGTGAAGTTTTTCACTTTAGGTGGGATATTAGCCTTCCAAAGATGCTTCCACAGTTTCGCATAACCACTAGCATTGGAAGAAGAGAAAGCACAACTATCTGTAGACTGTAGCCATTGCCGAGCCACCTAATACCCACTCTTGACGGAGAAACGTCCATGTTCGTCATAGTGCCAAACCAACTTGTCCTTCGGAGCACGAAAGCTAAGCGGGAGAGAAAGAATAAGAGATACATTTTTCGGGCTAAATAATTCCGATAGCAAATTGGTACCCCACGCCCTTGTGGAAGTATCAATTAACTCCTCAACTTTCATATGAACCTGCTCTGGATGAGGCACTAAGAGGACCTTGAAAGTGTTAGGTTTCGGTAACCACCTATCCGTCCAAACCTGAATCTGACGCCCGTCTCCTACCATCCACCTCGACCCCTTACTAATAATTCTCGAGCCCTAACAATGGTTTGCTAGCAAAACGATGACGATGGGGGAGCCTCCACTTCCCAAAATGAAGAAATTGGGAAGTACCTTGCCTTAAAGATTTGTGTTATTAGTGATGAGGGATGGTGAATGACCCTTCACCCTTGCTTTGCCAACACCACCATATTAAACGCATAGAAGTCATGGAAGCCTAACCCACCTTCACCTTTAGGTTTACACATCTTATCCCAAGGACGCCAATGAATTTTCCTATCTTCTGATCCATTCCCCCACCAAAACTGTGCCATAAGTTGATGCAACTCATCACAAAAAGTCTTCGGGAGCATAAAACAATTCATGGCATAAGTAGGAAGAGATTAGGCAACCACCTTTATAAGAAGTTCTTTCCCTGCATGGCTTAGAAGCTTGCCCTTCCACCCATTCAAGTGCTACACCACTCTCTCCTTGATATACGAAAACGTTTGCTTTTATTCTTCCCCACACAAGTCGGCAAGCCCAGGTATCCCTTATGCCGCTCCACCAACTGAACCCCCAAAAAACATGCTAACATTCCTTGATCATATGAACTTATATTTGCACTAAAAGCAACACTACTCTTGCCAAATTTTATCGACTGCAGCGATTCCTGAGAGTAAATATTAAGGATTTGTGGAATCACCACACATTCATCCACATTTGCTTTTCCAAAAAGGAAACTATCATCCGCAAACAGAAGGTTATGAATTATAAGAGCATCACCACACAACCAAATGCCACTCAAAGCCCCATCTTGCTCCTCTTTCGTAGTAAGCGCTGATAAACCTTCAACACACAATAGGAATAAATATAATGACAATGGATTTCCTTGCTGGAGTCCCTGGGTCGGCAATATATAACCACATGGCTAACCATTGACCAAGAAGGAGTACGACAGGGATGTAACATAAGCCATCACCATCTTAATCCATTCGCCAACAAATCTCAACTTCTCCATCATAACCTCTAGGAATCTCCATTGAACCCGATCATATGTTTTACTAAGATCAAGTTTAAGTGCAAGGAAGGCATCATGACCATTTCTCTTATTTTGAAATAAATGTCCAATTTCCGCCATCACCAAAGATAAGCGTTACTGGCACAAAAGCCCTCTGATTTGGCGAGATTAGCGTGACCATTATACCCTTAAGGTGATTTGCAATCACTTTAGCTCCAATTTCATAAAGCACGTTACACAAACTAATAGGGCGTAGCTGAGACAAATCATATGGCTAATTAACTTTAGGAACCAACACCACATAGGTAAAACACATTTCCTTGCCAAAATACCCAGACTGCAAGAAATACCGAACCGCCTCGACAACATCCAACACAACCATATGCCAAAATTGTTGATAACAGAGTGGGGACATACCATCTGGCCCTGCAGATTTGGATGGGTGCCTTTGGAACACAACCACTTTAATTTCCTCAGCAGAATATGGCTGTAACAATAAATTATTCATCTCTAGGGTAACACGACGTGAAACTGCCCCCAGTACCTCCT